ACATATTTTTTTTTTGAAATAATGTATAAAGAGCTTGTTTCTTATAAAACATATATATGTTTTTCTCTTTGTTTCTCGAGGGTCTCTCTTTTTTTGTAAATATAAGAATATATCTATAGATATATATAAAAAAAAATATATATATATATATATATATATATATATATATATATATATATATATATATATATATATATATATATATATATATATATATATATTTTAGCGTAGAAATGTTATCTTGCTTCTTATTATTATTACGAACATAACCTGTTCTCGAGCGACGCTTAAGAGTGATACATATGACATTCACTAAACTGCGCCAATTTTTTTCATCCGCAGGTAACAATGCCTTGTCCGTATTTATTGAGGATAAATCTCCAACAACTTCCTTCCATGACCTGCACTTCAGCCAATGATGTCTCTAAAACTCTTTTTTAAAATCGTTTTCTTTTAGGATGCATTGGGACGCAGGATATTTGTGGATCGTTTGCACCAGCTCCAGCTCCACCTCCTGCTTTACCTATGGCTCCTGCATATCCTGTACCCGGCGCCTACACAGGATATCCTCCACAAAGCGCCTTTCCAGGAATGCCACCAGATCCTTACAACCCCCAGGGATATCCTGCGTCCCCTAATATCCCACCTAACGTAAAGGCATTGGCTCAAAACACAGGAGCTGCTGTAGCTGCGAAAGCAAAACTGCTGGGTGGCTTAAATCCTTTGAAGAAGTTCGTTCCACACCTTCCTCCTTTGGGGCGGCCACAGAAGGGTAAACCTCCCTACAATCCACCCCCTCCCCAACCGGAGCCTCCGGTTGCAGGATATGGTCAAGGCACAAGTCAAATGCCATATCAACAACCACTAAGCTACAACCCACAAGGGATGGTGCCACCACAACCTGCTGGATATGGATCTCAGCCCACTGCTGGATTTGCTCCACCTGCCTTTGCCGTTAAGTATCATCATTTATTTAAAAAAAATACACGAACCTAATTCGATCAGAAAACGTTCCAACATTTGCGGCAACAACTATATGGTGGTAATACCTAACATTTACGCGTTAATGTTGGAAGATGAATGTCCGACAGCTGTTTTGCTAACCTTTGACGGAGACCTGACTGAAACAATCGGCATGCCTGTTGTTTTGTTTTCAGCGAGGTAATTAAGGTGCCTAACAAAAATGCTTGACAACTTTGGAGAAAACGTACGTTTCATGCAAAAACGTTTAAGTTGATCTTAAAAATTATTTACTTTAATTATTATTTACTAATCTGCTTCCTAAACTGAGGATGGTTGTTTTAAAAGTTGTTCAATTATGATTTTTCTCTCATCAGTATCAGATTCACAGTCACTGATTAATTTACATTGTTTTCTCAGGCACCTCAGGCGCCTGCCCCGTTTGCTCCACAGCAACCTCAATCAGCATTCAATCAGGCTCCTTTTCCCATAGGAGCTCCGCAGCAAGACCAACCTCAGTTAGCACTAAATGACAATGCCCCACAAGGACCTCCTCCTCAAGTGTCTTTTTCTCCGGAAATGAATCAAGGACCAGTGTATCCAGGGCAACAAGCGTCTCCTGATGGTAACGGAAAACTTTATAGTTTGCCTTGCTAGATCGCATTTTGAGCTTAGCTACGGCGCATCAAAAGATTGAATATCAAGGACAACAACTCCAGCTGCTATTTTTTTCATTTAAACCGATATTTTTGCAAGTGCTTGCATTCTTGAATTGTGTAGCCGTGTAGTAAAATATGGGCGTATCTTTTTTTTGTATATGTATCTCATAGGACTCTCTCAGTAACATAAATTCAAGAACCCACTTTGTGACTTACACAACAACTGCTCCAGTCAAAATTTACTAAAAGACCGTCAGGCTATCAATTATCAAAATATCGTTAGCCGCAATAGGAAGAGTGTTAAACCATACACCTTTATGACGATCAGTAACACCCTAAAATCATTTAAATCCACAGGTTCCTTTGATATAGCAAGAAAGAGAATGATGGCTTTAAAGATAAAAGGCCTAGCGAAGAGAATTGGTGTTCCCAGACCAGTTGTGAGGTTAAGACTGGTGCCCAGACCCCTTTATAAAAGGCATAGCTAAATACGTTGGATACTTCATACCCCACATGCAGTTTTTTCTGATTTTCAAATAACTTCATCTTTGACAGAATCGACTGCCTTTAAGTAACGGTTAAGGATAGTGGATACATCGTGACGTCATAAAGAGCATGTCTGAATCTCGTCTTCAGCGTGCATTTCTGGACATAACTCCCAAATATCGATCGAGAGGTTTAAAACCTGGATTAACTGTGTAACTGTTTTTTTTTTCCTTTATTTTGCTTACATTCCTCGTCTACCCTTGAATAAAGATTAACGTGGCCTCTATTATTTCTTCTCGTTAAGGCCATTATAACGTTATAACTGTGATTACCCTAGCAATAAAGCTTAAATTGAATAGGTGCTGAAGTCAGATAGTTTTTAATGGCCTTAAGTTTTCTGGAAAATTAAAGGGTAAAAACCATACCATATCATCCGTAATTATTAGAGACTGTGTGAATGAACACCTCTCCCGAATGGTTAGTCTCTCCATGCCGTCGTCAAGTCAAGTCGTCAAGTTTGACACCCTTTGCGGTGAACGCCTACGAGGAACAGCTGTTTCCAGCAGTGTCCTGTCCAGGGGAGATTTAGGTGTATTATGATTATAATCTTTTCCTGTAATTTTGTAAGGCCTTTAAGCAGCAAAACAGATCAGGTGCTCACATCTCGTTAGTATTTTTTAATGTACTTACAATTCACGACTGCATACAAGATAATGAAGACTAGATCATTCACCACTTAACAATGTCAAGTAAATTGACTTTACTTTGTATTGCTTATTACAGGGTTAAAGCTACTGACAGCGCCTTGAACAATAGCTTTCGGTCGTTTTTCTTTGACTCTTTTCATTTCCTTTTTCCTACTTTCTTTCACAGTACATTTTAAACAATAGCCCCAATGAATGAAATTTACTATTGAAACATCAACAAAATCGAAAGGACGAACGAAAAGCATTGACGCTATCAGTAGTTGATGGTTGTTCCATCAAAGTAGATCTTTCTATCAATCTTGACCGTGGTCTTCATCTCAACTCCATCAATTCCAACAAAAGTGGCGTGATACTTGTGTTTCTTTAGTGGGTCACTTGGCGTTCCGGCGATGATTGTTGGCGATCCGGAAAGGTCGGGAATCTGAACTTCAATACCATGCTTTAGCAAAAGGTCTGGATCGTCTTCTGTACCAACTCCTTTTGGAATGTCATCCAACTGAACAATCTTTCAACAAATACAAATTAAAATTACAAACGATCAGCCGTGGCGATAACTGCAAGAGCAGACCTTAACTTACTTAGAAATTTCTTTTTTTTTGAGCATTCACAACAAAAATAAACACTGGTACTTCATTAGCCATTGTATACCAGTTAACATGAACATCAAGGCCCTCCGTTCGAATTGAAATATATCATAAAAGAAAAATAAAACGAAGTCTTCCTTATAACCAAGAGAGGATAATCTACTGTTCCTTACAATTATAACCTTGATTCTTCTCTTTTGTCTGTAACTAAAGGCTTGTGGTCGGCGAATTACGCTTACTGCTAACTTTTACCCACAATGTAATAATTCACACTAGTCTTTCTACTACAGCTGAGTATATGCAGTTTCTAGAATGGGTTATGACAATAAAACTTTAAAATATCGTATGTAGCAGCTATGTTATTGATTATTTTACTGTTAAAATTCTTTGACTGGATCAGAATTGAGTACCTGGAGAAAGTCTGGCTTCTTTGTGGGTATGTGAAACAGAAACGCACTTTTCTCGTTGCCATACATGAAGAAAGAGCTAAACTCAGGATATTCCTCGTCATCAAAGTGCTCAAACTGGGGCACATCTAGCACCTTCATGTTAACCGACATGAAAGGCTTGCTTTGGTCAGTGGGCAGCCCTACGAAGCAATCGAACTTCTCTGAATCGTCCCCGTATTCGGATTCACCAAACAACACATCATGGAGCGTGGTGTTAGCTTTGCTTCTAAATACAATTGGTTGTGGCTCAGTACTCGTCTTCAACAGAGCATCTTGTTTCTCTTTATATTCCTTGGCTTGCTTCTGAGAATTGAATTTCAGGGTAGCGACAGTACCATACTGCTTGGAGGCGTTGCTGAAGTTGCCTGCGTAGTAGACGATTACCCTATTCTCATCGTCGACGACTCCGGTGCTAATAAAGTCATGATTAGACTTTGGATCTTTCACCTACAAGACCAAAATTTTTTCAAATGTCAGAATGCAAACAAGAAATCGGGCATACCGCATGGGTGCAACGAGGTGATAATAATCACAAGTTAAAATTTACAAACGATCAGCAAATCCTGAGATTTGGACAATAATAAGGGGTCCAAAATTTGGGCAACTCGGGTGAAAAATTTTTACCCATCAGAAGGCAAATTCAGTTAAGTGAGCCTAATCGTCATTGAGCGTGAAATAATATTGAAAATTTTGCCGGATGAAGCCTTCCAACATACTTTTCTTGAATTCAGTATCATTTTTTTTTTATTTTGGACAATTTCAACTGTTTGAGCAAGCCCACAAGCATTTTTCCGATGTATTAATTCTTAGCCAAAAACATATACATTGTAGGTTATCATCGGTCAAGTAGATTCCGTGGTTAAAAGGCAAAATGCAAACCAGATGACAGTTGCATGTAATTTTTCAGTAGCACTGTTTTTTTTTTTTTTTTTTTTTTTTCTTTTTTTTTATGGATGCAGTTTCATTTGCATTTAAAAAATATTATAGTTTTGTTGTTATGTATTTTATATATTATTTTTTTTTTTAATTTTATTTTTTTTTTTTATTTTCTTTGTGTTTTATTTTTTATTTATCCTTTTTTTTTTTTTTTTTTTTTTTTTTTTTTTTTTGCAGTTTCTTAATGGACGCAGTTTAAATAGCAATTTCAAAAAATTCTTCAGACAAGTGGACGTATTTTCAGACGTTTTGGCCAACCCTCGGCACTTCCTCTGAATTGCCACTTGTATAAAGATCTGTCCCAACCGAACTTTACATTCCTCGATTCTACAGGCTCCTGAATCTTACTTGAGTGCGAGGATGGGAGTACATGTAAAACATATCTCAGCTTAACCTCAGGGTGTCTGGTGCTAGACAGTAAGGTATCTCCCCCAATGAATGCGATTAGAAAACTCGCCCTATTGCCATGATCAGTGAGGTAATCCAAGACAGTCTAGGATTCTGGATTAAACGCTATGGACTCCGGATTCCAGGTACGGGATTTCGGATTCCTTTCCTATGGAACTTGAATTCTGGATCCCGATAGTTACAGGGATTCCGGATTCCTTGACCTGAATCACGGATTCCAAAGCCCTGGATCCCGGATTCCACAAGCAAAAATTGGGGCAAGATAATTGTTTTCCGATAAAGCTCTGAGATGTCAATAACGATGAAGAAAGAAACGAAGTGTGAAAAAGCAAGTTAGGGAAAGTAAACATCATATACCAAAAAGGTCAAAATTTTACCATATTGGCAATTTTGTGTTCTGAACCACCTGGAAACCTCTTTCGAACACTAACACTTAAGGTTGGTTCCCGTCATTGTTCAGTCATATCGTTTGACTTTCTACAAAGCAGACACTCTTCTTAAGACAGGCACTTGAACGGTCACACAACGGTATCACCCGTCAAAGAGAGATAAAAGAGCGTTGATTATTTTACCTAAACTTTTCGGTAAGCATTAGTAAAGCTTCGTAAATGCAAAAGCTTGGATGAATAGCTTTCTATCAATTGTCAGTGCTAAATATGCAATGAATATTGATTATGCTAAGAGGACATTACCGTTCCAATGGCGCAAAGAATGGTATTCCTCATGATAGCAGCAAGATCGTCAAAGAATTCGATGGACGAGGCCCATGGATCCATGCACGTGGTGATGATAAACTTAACTGGATTGTCATCTTTATGATCGAGCTTGACGACATAAAGTAAAATCAAAATGTTTTTTAAAAACAGTAAAAAACAAAAATAAAAGAGAGAGATACCCACAATCCAGATTTATATTAGAAAAAATCAGATTCAAGATCATCGCCTCAGAATATTTTCGTGTTATTATTCCTCAGACACGTTCTGAGAAATTGAGTGGCAATCGGTTTCGCTATGGTTACGAGATATTTTGTCATTAGTGACAAAAAAGCGAGGCTGTTATTGGACAAAAATAGTTTTACTCCTTTTTGGTAATTGAAACGTACAAGACAGGAGGAAGAGCAGAAAATGCTTAATTTCATATAAAACATTATATATCTCCTTGACACGCCGATACCAATGGATGACTCATGACTCGTAAGCCAAACTGAATCAGTGATAGTTCCTTTGTCAAAACGCGCTACACTTTTTTTATTTTTTTCTTAAAAACAGCAGTTAAGAACAAAAAAAGTTCTTCCGTAAAAAGACTATGTGCTGCAGATCCTTGGCAGGACCACTGATAAACAACTTGCGATAGGGCAATTGGACATGTGAATTTGCCCCCCAAAAAAATTATTGGTATTAATAAATGCTTGGGTTCAGTGATGAGCCTCACACGGGGAGACAGTACCACAAAGGAGGATTTTCTCTTTTTTTGTCGTAAAGAAACGATCGTTGCACCACTTACCCCCAATCTCTTTTTGAAGCTCTTCAATGCGGAGCTGTGTTTGTGGTGGAGCATGCTTGAGGCAGTAACAACCATTGGGACGCGATGAGCAGTTCTTTCACCCGAGGAATGACTCAGCTTTTGAAATATGGCCATATTGATTGCGTTACAGACATCGACACTCTTGTTATCCTTTAAGTTGACTGTGAAGCACGGAACTAGTGTATCTGGACCTATCTCCTTCAAGTACTCCATAGCTTCTTCATCCTGATATAATTGGAAAATAGCATTGAACATTTGAAAAAAAAAGGTTGCCTAAGTACGAACATCTTTAACAATTAGTTTTGATTGAATAGTTGACTTTTCGGGGGGGAATATTAGAAAAAAAAGGCGATTTTTAATTAATTTTTCAGTAAAATAAGTAATATACTTGCTTTTACTAATGCTGACCGCCCAGCGGAAACACTTGGTCTTTGAAGCTCAGTAACTGAGATTAGGACTATAGATTCTAAACATGTTATTGTTATCGTTCTCCGTAAGCATCATAATCCATAAAAATGTCAATGTCAATTATAAATCTAAAATATCACCAAAATTGACCACAGCAAACAGAGAAAAAAAGGGGGGGTTTGCTTACTCCTCCATGGATTAACATAAATTTAGTCGTTTCAGAAACGAAGAAATTTTTCATGCGTTTCGTTTACCTTAGCAAGTTCTTCATTGCTTTTTCCAATGATCCTGTCTTTGATCAATCGTTTTTGCTCTTCTTGAGACAGGTTCTTCCATTTTTCGGGGAGGGGCTTAGTAGTTTCAATTATAAAGTTGTCGTCTTCTTCAGGAAGTGTCACCCAAAGGCAGTACAACAGTTTGGCAGTATAGTTGCATTCAGACAGGATACGACCATAGCCGTTTTTGTTGAGACCAATAACCTTTTTTCAAAGGAACGAAAGAGAATGACGATGGGGAAATTCACTTCCATCTAAAAATCATCATGCAGTGATTCACGAAAGACAGGGCACGCGGATTCGAAGTGAATGAAGTATAATCCTTTTCTTGCAGATCAAGAAGTACTAAATACCTGATGTCAATTCACTTTTTGGTGACAAAATGACGATGAATTCAACGCCAATGCTTTTTATCTCTCGATCTTTTGACTCTCGAGTCTAGACTCGCCAATTAAAGTCGACCTCTCGTAAGTTCTTCCGAGCGAGCCCGAAGCGAGCTTCAATGAAGACGCACAGCCACCGAGCGCCAGAGCGGCGAAGACGCGAGGTCGACTTGTTTTTCCTGAATGGATTTGAATCATATTATAAATTCACTCAGGAAAAAAAAAATTGACATATGCCGAGTCTGGAGTGGCGTCAAATATCACTCACACTCTTGTTGTTCATTTATCATGACATCACCCGGCCGGCCCACCCATGGAATTTCCCACCAGTGAATTTCGCGCAAAACAGGTACGAAAACTCCTTTGAAATGGCATAACTAACCAGGAAAAAAATAGATGACTTTTAAAAGGTCTATCTCGAGTACAGTAAATAAAACAATAATAAATATAATTTATAAGGTGCAAAACAGCATTTAATTATATGATCTAGTGCGCACTAACAACAACAACAAAAAGAAAAAACAGCAAACAAGCATATAAAAAATTAAAATTATAATATTATATAAAATTATACGTAAAATTTCCTAAAAAAATAAACAAGCCTAAAAATTTAGTATAAATCTTTCTATATATACAATTAAAAAGGCAACTATAAGATTCGATTAAAAAATGTATTGAAGCTAAGTAATTGAAATTATCTCAAAAACGTAAATTGATAAGTCATTCATGAGCGGTAAATTTATAAATCATAGGCTTCTTTAAAAAGTAAAGTTTTTAGTTTGGCTTTTCATGTAGTAGTATAATGGCCTATGTCGACTCTAATGTGATAATTTAATTTAAATACCCTGTTCGCGAGTCTCACTGCTGCTGCAGCGGCTCCAGGTTTGGATCCCTCGAGGCCGATATCTCCCAGAGTCATATCACCATGGTAGTACACCACATTTGTGGTTATTTGAAGGAAGGTGTTCATCCGCTTGTCCTTGTAGCACAAAGCTCCCGCTGGATATGGACAGAAGCCTGACTTATGAGGATCAATGGTGATGGTGTCACACTGGTTAACAGCTGAAAGCTGTTCGTTGACGTAATTGCTAAGGAATATTCTGGGAATAAATCCTGAGTCTTCAGGTGGTTTTAAGTAATGACTTTGCGGCTGGTCCCTCAACATACTGCAGAAATATCCTCCCCAGGCTCCGTCGGCGTGGATAGCGAAGTCAAGACCCTACATTTAAAAAAAGTGTAGCATTAGTGCGAGAAAAAGTTAGCCAGTCTGGATTACCTTAAGGCTATCAAGAATGAGTTCAGACTGAGTTCCCTGGGGGGGAAAGTGGGAAAAAAAAAATACGAAAATATATGAAATATCCGCAAGGTCACAGCAACAAAAAGAGATGTTTGGTCATCCACCTGTGCTAGATATTCCTAACAGTACTCAAGGGGAAGAAAGAATTTAATGTAGGTACTTGAGAATTGATTTCGAAGCTTTAGCTAAATTAACATCCAACTGATAAAAGTTCAAGGCGTTGGAAAATAGAAGGAACAACAATTGATTATAGCCTGTTCCGTTTCAATAGTACAACTCATTTACCTTTTTGCTGTAGCTTTTTCGCAACTGAAGGATTTCAGAAAGTGGATCTATTGAACTCTCTTCAGTGGTGCCCATCACAGCCACAACAGCGACAACAGGAATTTTATCTTCCAGATGTTTGTCAAGGATGTCTTTCAGCACTTATAACAACAGAAAAGCATTTACACATAATAAAAATTCGAATAACATGTATACAACATGTTTCGTGAATATGGAGATATTATCAACTTATTTAAATCTGAGAAAATAATGAAATTATAGCTGAACTATTTTTTGAACATGTTTAAAATTCTTCTGAAGATTCTGGAAACAGTCACTGCAGCTGGAGGAAATATATCCGCTGCACACTTTCTTTGTTTATTTAAAAATGGTTCACTGAAAACTTCACCAAATATTAACACTCAAAACTTTAAGATGAGTTAAAATATGTAACGTTTTTTGAGGCTTTCATATCTTTAATGCATTCTCTCCCTGATGACTTCTTTTCCAGAGGAACTTGAGTTGCTGGGATCTTTATTTGTAATGTTGGTTTGAAGTTAATCTAATCACTTGCTTGATAACTGTCATAAGCGTTAGGTTCTTATAAACAGGTCTTACCAAGAGTGACATGAACAGGTAGTTTGTGATAGAAAAACCTATACATAGAGTCTTTCTTTTGACTTACCACCGGAATTCATTCGTGAATCATCATCAACAGCAACTTTGACAAGGTTATTTTTTCCCAGCCCTAGCACAGTTACGGCCTTGGTGAAGGAAATATGCGCTGTACTAGGCACCACAACACAGGTTTTCTCAATTAGAGGATGTCTTCGAGCAAATTCTGGCGCTCCAATGGATTCGTAAAGGTAGTCTGACATAACATCCATGAATTCTCCGTGTTCCAATCCAGTTTGGATCTCAATATCATCAGGCATACTGAGAATGGAAGAAGTGTCGAGATTGAGTAGTTCCCATTCAGAGCCATTAGTTAGTTCTCCCATCTTACCTTTTTTGGGGAAGAAAACCTTAAAGGATGGAAAGCAAATATAGAAATTCATCATCGTCATTGTCATTGTCATCACCATTACCCGTCATCATCCTCATCCTCATCCTCATCCTCATCCTCATCATCATCATCATCATCATCATCATCATCATCATCATCATCTCATCATCATCATATCATCAGATTATCATCAATTTTATTGTAAGAGCTCCTTTACGTACGTTCTGAGGGTATCTGTTGCTGTTCACTATATATAAGAAGGCAGGCTATGCAATTTATTCTTAAGTTTGCAATTTCCTTGTGCCAAGAAACAAATGCTGCTTCTTCTCAGCTAAATGTCAAATTCCGCTAAGATCTTTTTCACACTTCCAAGGGTTCCCACTACTACTACTAATAAAGCATTCTCCTGAGATATTTGTTATGTTATACTATTCCGACCGTCAACAATGTCAATAGCCAAACACACTTCATTGGCAATATATCTCTGGCAATCTTTGTGTACATGTATGCGGGTCTGTTTGCAGCCAGAAGTTCAACTATAGCAACTTATGAACGGTTGTTAAACGTTCAGTTTCAGGTAAACTTTAGTATATTTCACTGCATACATGAACTGATTCATTACGAGCAAGACCTACTCACTTATTTCTTCTACTACTGCTGAGAAATAAGCACATTCAATGTACCTTATAATCCTTGGCAGCAGCTAACTTTTCCTCCTTCTTCAAGGCTCTCTGCAGTGCCAGAGGGAAAAATTTGACATTTCGTGCTGCCCAAATTGCTTCAATATTTGCAATGGTTCCTCCAGTAACCAAATGTCCCATGCTTTTGTCTTTTTCGTATCCCATCATTACGCAAAGGTCGGTCCCGACCTCCAGCTCAAATGAAGTCGTGACGGTTGATGCCTCCGCAGCGCAGTTGTTCTGATTGTAAAGCAGAGCGCAGATGTAGCCAAGGTTGGCAGGCATCGCGATATCCCAGTTGACATGTCCCTATTTGTGAAGTAAATAAGACACGCGTAGGTAATTAGGCATTAAGATAAGTTAACACAAGTGCAATCAAACCTGATATGTACAACGGTCACCTTTGGGAATGGCAAGGTGAGCGGTATATACAGGGTGACTGCTATATACAGGTCAACTTTCCAGAAAATATAAGGCAACCGAAATTTTGGGAAGTTGTCTGGTGACCGTATAATTTTCTGTAACTCAAATGTTGCTTACACCCTTCTTTGGGGTAGAGCCAAAAAAAGTCGAAATTTGAACGCTTTTGCACGAACAAAGGAAAACTTTTCAAGGGGAAAAGTGCTTGAAAATATCAAGTTTTCCCAGTTTAGCGATCAAGGCTTACCACGCGTAGATAAACATTTCACGTCTTACCAATTAGTTACCAATAATAATAATAATAATAATAATAATAATAATAACTAAATGTCAAGAGAAAGTTATCTTCACCTCCTTACAGCTAAAATGTTGTATTGTAAAGTTAGGCAATATATCGTAATTTTATTGTAGCTGCAGTTGGTGTTTCTTGCTTTGACATCAATAGTGTTTTGCAGTTTGTAAAATATAAAGGAGAGAGCCTTCGAACTTATCAATCTATTTCATTATCCTCTTTCTAGCTAAAGCTGGGCAACAGGCCATGAGTGCTCGCTTATTTTGGTCCTGGAGTTTGGTTGTCTAGAATAGATTAAGTATTTAGTAGTAGATATAATTGGCTAGCTACTTCGGCTATCCAATTTACTACTTAATGTCCATTAGATGTTTATAATTAACTACTGTAATTGTGCGATTGCAAGAAGTAAGCTTTATGTCGAAAAGTATCAATTGTATCACCCAAATTTAACATGCAAAATAATTAAGGGCTGTTGAGAACCAATCACATTCGGGCATTTGGTATTGACTCGACTGAGGAAGTTCTTCAACAATGCTGAAGACTCCTGATAAACGCTATTACCTTGTATCTCGTGCTGTAAAATGGGACGGAATTCTGCATTTGCCTTTGTAATAGCTCCAATTCTGTCTGCAGTTTATCCTTGGAAGCTTGATAGGCTTCTGCCTCGCGAAGATCATCAGTCACATATGGGGGATCACAGGGAAAATAGCTAAAAGATGACAAAGAACAAGAAAATTTTGTCGAAGTCGATTAAATATTTTTAAAACGGGTATGACGTCCAATATGACCCATCGCAACGAAGCGGATGCCTGTGGACAGAAGGCTGTGGGAAACTGTATAAAACTGGCTGGTGCATCGTAAGAAAAAAGTATGTTTAAGATCATTTCATCTCTTGAAGTATGATAAGACCATTAAATATCCAATAAGGTCACGTAAAAATTAGTTTATTCCTTTTTAGCATGAGAATTGCCACAACCGCCATGTCTGCTCGAAAGGACGACTTTCTCACCGCTGGGAATTATAGCCAAACTCGTTGTATCGCGCTGCTCGTTTGCAAACTTCGAATGGGTTTTTCTGTCTCGTCAATCATTTGAGTGAGTGTGGAGTTAATGCAAATCACAATGCAACACACTCGCCCAGTTTGGCTAGCAAAAACAAAAAAAAAGTGACTCAAGACTGCTCAAGAATAGCGAAGGAAATCGCCATGATGAGTGGAATTTTTGTCGAGAGTAGGAGGCAGACATTGCCTTACTCTTGCAGGAGACAATAATAAGAAACATTAGAAAAATCTTCGAAGAAAATTATTCGATTATTGCCCGAAACAGGGCGATCACAAGCAACGAACCTTGAAACACAGAAACAAACAGAGTGGATCGAAGTGCACCGATCACAAGTAAACATGTGTTTCCTAAGAGGTCCGTTAAGATGATTGACGGAGCAGAAAAACCCAAAATTCTTTCGAAGTTTTCGTGATACAACGAATTTGGCTATAAGTTATAGCCAAATTCGTTGTATCGCGCTGAGTGTTTGAAAACTTTGAGCTGGTTTTTCTGTTCCGTCAATCATTTGAGTGGGTGTGGAGTTAATGCAAATCACAATGCAACGCACTCGACCAGCTTGGCCCGCAAAAACAAAATTGAGAATGACCCTAAAGTGCTCAAGAATAGTAAAAGAAATCGCGATGATGAGTGGAATTTTTGTTGAGGGCAGGGGGCAGATATTGCTTTATTCTTGCAAGAGACAAGGATAACAAAGATCATAAAAAGCTTCGAAGAAAACTAGTCGATCATTGCCCGAAACAGTACGAAACAGGGCGATCACAAGAAGCGAACCTTGAAACGCAGAAACAAACAAAGTGGATTGATAAGAGATAATGGGGAGTTAGGTTTATCTAATTTGTGCATGTGACATGTCTAGTTATTATCAAAGGTGGCAAACACCAGATATTGAAGCAACGGTATTGCAGTTTATGTTCGAAGCAGTCCCTGAAGGTACACAATCCTTTGTTTTCTGTTTACAAATTATGATACTGAATAAATAAATGCGACGTTAATTTTATTCGTTAATAAGATTTGAATGACAGGAATACTATTGAACATTGTACACCGCCAAAAATGAAGTCCACAAAAATATAACAAAGGAGTCTCACGGGCTTCATAACCATTCCACTCTTCTAACTTTGGTGAAATTCAGCAGGCAACATGGAATTCTCTTGTAGTTTTGAATTCCTAATTCCTGACTTAATATCCTTAACTCAGTTGCATAATTAACTGACTCCCTACAGGATACCGTACTCACATGTGTCGGCGAAACTTAATATGTGAATCGATTGTTTTAGTCACAAGATCTTGAAACAGATCTCCATTCTCTGCCTTAGGTCCCATGAACCAAGCTCCAAGAGCTGACCACGGTTTATGCCGTCCATGAGAAAGATCTTTTGCTGCAAACATGTTGTTCTGTTGGAAGTACATATTAGGTGCTCGGCTGGCCATACGCCTCCTCTTTCCACCCGCTCCAGCAACTTGCTGAATGGGTCTTTTTCGGCTTTGAAGCATCTCTGAATCTAATCAGTTCTGTTAAAGAGTATATAACTCAATAAATTTATATTGTTAAATTCAAGGCAAGGCGTTAGGCGGTAGTACCTACGTCGAATTTGAGTTAGACGGATTTTATTGAATTAAATTCGTCGATAATTCGACGTAAAGGGCTATGCAATTTAGACGACGAGTTGAAAAACGCCGAGAAAAATGGGGGTTTTCCGTTTTTGTTTCATCACAAAAAGACAACAAAGGGACAATTTCGGCTTCAAATCATCATTCTTCGCGAAGGGACTTGGGAAGTTGCAAGACCGACAACGTTTTAGGCGGAAACAGTTATCATAATCGCTGTTGAAACCATTTGAACTACAAAGGGGCTTTGTTACCTCTCTTCAAGCGATCGGTGAACATCTTAATGCCCTCTATTAACGCAATGTTATGTGCAGTAAGTGATGCGCGGTGGAAAACCAGAGAATTACCTTAACTTCATTTTTAGGCGGATTCAAGTTGACTCGAGAAAAGAATAATCACAGAGCTCCCGGTGCGGTATCAGCTCGAAGGCAAAATTTTGCCCCAGAGAGCCATCTCTTTTGGACCTCACCCAGGAAAATATAAAAAATGACAGTAAAAGAAAAAAAAAACATATTTTTGTCCCCAGAGCCGCTGGGCTATATTTCTAATACCAGGTGACCGCAAGAATCTAAGGTCCGTTTCAAACGTCGTGCGACGTTTGAAACCAAGTCGTGCTACCGCCGTGCCGAACTCAATTCATGAATTATAAATACATTAGAATATATTTAAAAGTTTGCTAAACCGTTTCTTTGTTTTTGTGTATTGTTTTTGGCAACAGCCGTTCCATTCGACTTTCAATGTGTGAATTAAATTCGACGTCTGAAACCAAGTCGTGCTAATGTCGTGCTGCAGTCGTGCTATAGTCGAGCCAGGTTAGCACGGCAGTAGCACGACGTTTGAAACAGGCCTAAAGCCTGGTTTCCATTTGATCGTCCGGATCGTCCCGATCGCCCCAGTCATTTCAAAATATTTCGAGACGATCCGGACGGTTGGGGTGATTGGTAGTTTCCATATGATCATCTCGATCGCCTCAAAGGCAAGAGACGCGGGGTCGTCAGCGATGTCTCTGGGTCAGACAATAGAATTTTTGCGCGTGTTTTGCAAACAAGCCACATAAATGGATGATTTTTATTCGTAAAGCGAACCTCGTACCTTGGTATCTGCTTTTTCTCTTGATTTTGTGGCCTTGAGAAGCTAGAAGAATTCCCCGAAGACATAGTATCTCTTCGAAAACTTGATGTCACGGACTTCCTCTGATTTCAAATAACCCCCACATATACGCGCTGTGAACATTTGTGTATTATTTTTTCGGCTTCAGCGCGATCCGGGCCGAATTTATATTCGATTACTGGAATAAAAGTGATGACTTCTGGGATAGCCTTCCATCGTCCCGATCGTCTCAGTCGTCTGAGAGCGTTTCCATATGATCGCTTCAAAATTTACATGATCGTCCCGATCGTCCGGATAGAACTCAACACTATCCAAGCGATCAAGGTCGTCTCAGTCGTCCGGGTCGTTTGCGGTTGTCTAGGTAACGTTTCCATATGATCATCCCGATCGTCTGAACATTTTTTGAGACGACTGGGACGATAGGGACGATCGGGACGATCATATGGAAACCAGTCTTAAGTGCTCTGCAAACGAGAGCTCGTCGAGCTTGCGCCTATGGGTAGTAAAGAAAACTGGCGCCACGACAGCCTTCCCTCTCAATTTTCCCACGTTATAATAAATTATTACACATAAACATAATGTATCCATTCAAGTTGATGCGTCGTTTGAGTGACGTCTAAAATGAGACTCTACAGACAATTTATCCGTCTGTCGAAGACAGCTGATTAAACGTACCGGAAAAATACGTCGCAGAATAATTGGAATTTAATTGCATGGGATAGGCTTTCAATTAAATTCGTCTGAATTAAATTCGACGGTCGCGCGACGTGTAGAGTGGGCCTAACTTTCTTTATGCTTGTAAAAGTAAAACCATTGAGATGTGAAGGCATTCGGACTGCGACGACTTGATTACAAACAATAAAAAAAGTCGGTAAAGCAGAGTAGATATTAATGCTCAAAATCGATCAAAAAGTTGATCTTATTATCATAGAAGACAGACAGTGAGAATCCGCCTGCAGTGAGTACTCGCCGACTATAAAATAAATGACCAAGTATAAGCTTGGTACAACATTGAGGTCAGATACTGGAAAACATGGAACAATCTAGGTGGCGTTATAGTCAATTTTATCTACCTTTTAGAATGCATAAATCTTCACCTTCACGGCAAAAGTAGGACTGTTTTTGGTGATCGTGTGCTATTGTGCGAACAATAGTGACTAATAATCTCATGCATCGAAAACCTATTTACGTGACAAAATTATGCATAAGACAAGGTACAAAATGCATGGTTGCAAGAACAGTTCTGCATTTTCCCAAAGCTCAAACTCATGTTTGCTTTTCTTTGCGGAAAATCCATTGTTTTTGCTGGTTGCGGATTCGTTATAATTTTTTTCCTCGATACTATGACTCCTTGTTCACGCAGTACAATGGGACGGGTGACGCCTTCTGAAGACGCCCAACTGTCTATATTTGAATTAATGACGAAATCTTCAGACAAATCCATATATATTGTTGAAATGTAGTTCCTACCTTAGTTCAGATATATTTAACAGTCCTTCTGTTCACAGTTGAAGAGCTATGGAAACTGGAGGGTTTCCGAGTGCAGCTTGATGTAAACTTAACAGATGTCAGAAGCTTGCAGACGCGACATGTGCTTTAAAGACGCGACGGCCTCATTACCATGAGACGTAGACAGTATTTAATAACTTTTTTTTCTTTGTTCGCACCTTTTGACGTAATACCCTAGAGAGATTTCTTTCAAATTTCACCTTAATTCTTTATTCATATGCATATCGTATTTGCTGGAGGCTTCCAGGGTTCCTTAGCCCACATGCGGTGCAGACTCTGTGGGAGTTCGTTAGACTTATAAGAGAAATGAAAATAAACAAAATACGTCCTAAATCCTATTTTTTGACATAAATAAAAACAAAAATGTCTCACCTTGTGTTTTTGTTTTGTTATTTAGTGTCTCTTTGCTTCTAAAGCCATTTGGAAGCGTTTCGACGTTTAAGAGTTTGAGTACAGTTGTACTAACAATAAGTAATAGGGGAAGGCTGGCGAGTCTGAAGCCGACCGCCCCAGCTCGAAGCTCCATAAATCCCATAAAAATGATCTTAACTCCTCGCCTAAATTGCCGTTAAAGGATCAGCCGATAATTTGTCTTTCCCTTCTATGCTTCTGAAGTCTCAGGTTTCATCACAACAGCTAACGAAGCGCTCGGATTTTAACTTTTTCCATCAGAGTTTAGTTTCTTTCTCGCGATGCGTATGACCGGGTCACTGGACCCGTGAGTAGTCAACGATCGCTCAAAGGTTACGTGACAGCGACAATTTGCCTCCGTCCGGAAGCGGGCACGGTGTAAAAAGGGTCAGACTGCTTTTTGTTAAGCAAATTAATTGGTGATCCGGCGTCCTTGAGTTCTTAACCCCCGGACGTACATGCAAAGTAATACCCCCCCCCCCTTCCCTGGAGGTCTGTGACGTCACCAATCATGGTCGCCATCTTGGCCACCATCTTCCATTTTTTCAAGAATTAGAAATCAAGTAAAAACAAGCATTACTTTTATTCCTGAAAGAAGTTGAATAAACATGCACTTTCACTAAAAAATGGCTTGACCACCTGCTGTTTTTCACGTTATATCTCAGAATCATAGTAACTAACCGTCACTAAACTTGTCTCAAAATGCGCACGAGGGATAAACGAACAGCTACAGAAAACTTCAGGTGCTGATTTTTTATCGTTTAGGAAAAATTCAGAAAAACCTCAGGGGGGTGCC